GTGGAAAATTATACCAGTTTGCATCTGGTGGTGCTTGGACAGAAAGAAACCTCAGGTGCCATCAGAACAAGAGCAACAATATCCAGAAGATGAAGATGAAGTGCTTAGTTTTGTTTCATTTTTGGTGTAAACAGGAGTATAGGGAAGATCTAGAATCAAGTATGGATGTCTTAGGATCATTGTAAATTTTTGTTAAAAGGGTTGAAGATCTTCTAGATACTCCTCCTCAATTGTAATTAGGAAACCTGTAACTTGTCGTGGCAGGTTTCTGTTTTTGTGGAAATAGAATACAAGTTGTTACCTTCTAAAAAAAAATAAAATCCTAGCAAAGGAATAAATTCTAGATGATTTTTTCCCATGTGCCTAAGCCTTGGTAGGCAAAATTACTCGGTACCTGTGTTTGTGGGAGCCTGGGAGGTAGTGGATAATTGGTGCAATAGTTGAGTTACCTGCAAGCTGGCCCAGACACCACCATCATTAAAAAAAGTTGATTTATCTTCCAACAATCTTGTCTCTTTATGAGTGATTTAGGAGCACTTGCCTAGAAGTTCATACCCAACAACTTTTTGCTCTTTGAAGTAATCAATACTTTTGATCAACTGCTGCAAGTTGTTATCTACCTTTCGGAGAATCACATTGCTAATTTTGGTTAGGTAGGAACACAGAGTCATCTCCCTTAAGCTAGCATGTAGCAAGTGAATGAGACATCATAAGATCCGAGAAAGTTGTATCTTGAGCACTTCCACATTATAAATATGAAAATTGTGTTTGTCTAGTGCACATACCTTTGTATAATGGGGTTTTTTCAGCAAGTGACAACATGGAACTTTTAATCTACACTATTTATTATTAGGTTGTTAATATTTGGACAAGCGGGGGTTGCTCGGATGGTAAGCACTCTCCACTTCCAACCTTGAGTTTGTGAGTTCGAGTCACCAAGGGAGCAAAAAGGTCAGAGCTCCTAGGGAGGGGTAAAAGAAAAAAAGGTTGTTAGTATTTAGGTATTATTAATTGATTAATCAATCTGACCATGTCAGCTATCAAAAACGTTCTCCCTCTTTAGTGATAGGTAGAATTTGTTTCATTGAAAAAGGAACTCCTCGGAAGTAAAAGTGATACAATCAAACCTCTATAACAACGTCATTTTATCCGGATATTTTTTGGTTGTTAAAGCGAAATGTAGTTACAGAGAACATATAATATAACATTACGTGAAAATTGGTTCCAAAAAAAAACTTGACTGCTATAGTGAAATATTGTTATGGAGGATGACGGTTACAGATAGGTCTGATGGTAAAAGGAGAATATTCTTGCTAGCATGATAAACTTTAATGTAACCCTATAAGATATCAACTCATGATTCAAGGTCATCAAGATAGATGAATGCATCAGCCTCAGGGATTTGATTCAAAGATTAGTGTGAGATGTGAGGCAGGCACATGTCACGAGTTAAAATCCTGCTGGGAAACCAAACTTGGTGTATAAGTGGAGTAAGGTAGAAGAATGAACTCATCATTATTCGAGTTTTGAAACTGGAAAAAAATAAATTCCTTGATTATAAAAAGCAAAGGATTAGGAGAGGCACCAAAGACCATTATCTTTCCAAGAGATGATCTTCAGTGGGTTTGCTTTACCCTTTCATATGTCATCTATTCTACCGTTGGAGCACAGCTGCATGTATGAAATTGTCCAGTACTCCCCAAGGGAGTGGCCTAATGGTCAATGAAGTGGCCTGTGAACCATGAGATCTCAGGGATATGTAGAGACAAAAAACATTAGGTAACTTCTTCCCGTCTGACCTAGTTTTGGTGGACACAGGTACCTGGTATCTTTTCCTGGTGAGAGGTGATAGGTACCCCAACAAAGCTAAATTGCCGAATGGTTAAAGGATTGAAATTTGGATAACTATGACAGTCTAGAAAAAGAAGACAAAATTAGTGGCTCAAGTTCTACAGATAGATAAGATACAAGAACTGAGAAATCTTACTGATGATGAATTGGTTAAACGAACAATTTTTAAAATGTGAGTTTGAACAGATGGCAAAATATGAAGAAATAGTATGGAGACATAGGTTCAGAGTTGTTAGCAAAAAAATTTATTAACTACAGCTGGATTTAAAGGTGGACTAATAGTGTTGTGAATAAACAAAAGCGGGTTGGCTATGTAAGATTTATAGATGAATTTGAAGATGCCTTAAGAGTTTAAGGCCACAGGAAAGATTAGTCCTTGTTTTTGTTTATACTCACATGGCGTAATCATAAACTCCATTGCTGCAGTATTTTCTCTTTCTTGCTATTACATATTGCTATTTTTGAACTAGTAGTTTTTCTTGAACTAAGTACTTGTTCCTTTTAAAACTTTTGATATTGTGTTTTCTGCTGACTCTTGCTCAGGAAATCTCCAGGGTTCTGAATTGATGGATAAATTGCTAGAACAGGAAAATATACTTCAACAATGCATCGGCCACTTTGAGAATGCTGAATCATTGAGAATTACCTTGATTTCTCTGCTGAAAGATGCACTTCAAGATCAAGTACAGTTTTTCATTTCCATCCCTCCCCCCTGCCCAAAAAAAGCAAGAAAAAGAATCTAACACCCTCCCGTACCTCCTATCACCAGGATTAATCTTAATTCTTTTTAGACCTTCTAATGTTTACCTTATATTTGATACTGTCTATATAGCAGAGAAGAATTATGCAAAAATTACATGACTGTTTCACATCCTCCTATTGGTCACTAACAATGTTCAATGCCTTTATTTTCCTATTTTCGCATTTCCATCTTAACACTCATGTCAACCCAAACGATTGTTGCTTTTTCAGGAATCTAAGCTAGAGCTTTTACGCAGTGGGATGCAGGTACACTCAATCCAAATCTTTTATTGCACATATCTCCTTATATTTTATCTTCGACTCCACCTGTGGGATTACACTTGGTATGTTGTTGTATCTCCTTATATTTTATCCACTCACGAGAAAAAGGGAACAGAAAAATCATGAAGAGGTTCGCAAAAAACCCACAGGTGCACGGAGAATTGATGTGTGTGTATCCCTCTTTGCATTTACTGAATTAATTGCATGATCGGTTGCTGGAATTATTGAACATTTAATATACTTAAGTGTTGAGCAAATTGGTTTGTTTGTTTCGAGTTGAAGAACAGTCAGATATAAAGCAGTTTTTGGACTCACCAATGATGAAATATATGAAATTTTTGAGGAATGTTGAGTTTGAGAAGAGGGAAGATGCGGTGACTTGTTTATGATTATTTTCTACCAGCCAAATGGATGTATTGTACGTTTTAGATTCTTATTTAGTGTCCATGGTTTTCCTCTAGATATTATAGGTTTCCCAATTCTTATTTGCATATCAGAATTCCTGCTGTTTGCAGAACAATCTGAGGAAGGCAGTTTTGTGTGTTTAAGAGTCTAAATGGACTTTAATAATTTGTAGCTGCTATGAATAGGTAATAGTCTTGTTTACTTTTTGTTTTTCTTTTACCAGTGAGGAGGAGTGAGAGGTTGGTTATAGTAGGTATGAGGAAAGGTAGAGGTAGGCCAAAGAAAAGACATGGCCATGACACAGCTTCTCCTTATATGGTTTCTCTTGTAATTGCATGCCTTTGCATCCCATCAACATATATGCCTAACAACAGAGTCTCTCCAAAATTTTTACCCATTCAACCCTATCCAGGATTCCAATTCAATCTCAACCAGTGTTTTCAAAAGTGAGCTTCATCACGTAAAGTAATTGAATGGTAATGGAAGAGTTACTAAAGTAACAGTTAACATAAGTTTGATGGATAATATTATTAACTAATTATATGAAATAATTTTGAAATGGTATATGGTATTAAATATTTTAAAAGTTCCAACATGAATGTTATACAAATGTGCATTGTAAGGAAGGGAGAGTACTCTAGTTAAGCTAGAGGAATCTCAACATTAGATTCCACATAATATAAATCAATATTTGGTTGAATGAGTTAGGAAAATAATCTCCATAAAAGTAATGCAGTGTTTGATTGGCCGTGTAAGAAGTATCACTGCATAACATTATGCAATGCTTGTTTGAAAATATTAAGTAATAGTCGCATTAAGGTGTAGTAGAATCCATGTACTATTTTATGTTTGATAGAATGTGGAGTAAGAATACAACGGTCACTTTATGAGCTTTGGATTATTATAGGGCATTAGATGCTAAAATTAGTGGCTTAAGTTGCAATCAGTGTTATGAGTACATTCACGTATATTAAGCAACTGGTTGTATTGTCTTTAAATTATGCTCTTCATTTGGCAATATGTGTGCTTCACTTCTCACTTTTTGCTTAAAGCCCTACAAGTCTTGTATTTGTGCTATTCGGTTTTAAAAACATTGCTCTTGAACAAAACAGCTGTTTACCCTTTTTGTCTAATTTGTCATTTTGTGTGACTCGATGTGGACAACTATTTGGAAACGGATAACTTTGTTATCCAATTTGTCGTTATGTGTGACTAGATGTAGACAGCAATTTGCAAGATGACTTTTTCAGGGTATGTGCGTCCCATGGCTCGGTCTAGTGGTAAGACAGCAGTGTGTGATGTATGGTTTAGGCTTACATCACGGGTTTGATCCCTGCCTCTGACAGGAACTTGGTGTTTAAGGCGAGAAAAGTGGAGGGGCTGGACCATTTTCCACTGGATTTCGGACTGTGTGCGATTGACCTTTGGGATTTTCTCGGTTATCAAAAAAAACTTAAGGAATGTCTTGATGAGAGGACTAAGATTCCTCCAACCTTGTTTTGGTGGAACACTTACCAGCATGTCCCTTTAATGTTGTAACTCAAAATTTCCGCCTTAGGTGTTCTGCCATCTCCAGTATAGTTCTTGGTCAAATAAAGGGGTTGAAGATTTTGTTCTTTCCCAAGTATTTTCCCCCTTTAATTTAGGTCCCCATTTATGCTTTAAAAAGTTGGTATGTCCCCCTAAGAATAGTGCCAAGAGCAGCAGCAGCAGCATACAGCGGCAGATTTTTCTCAACGGAAGAATGGAATCTGTAACCAAGCATGCAATTGTGATTAGAATCATGGGTCGTACTGGATCCAGGGGGGAGGTGACTCAGGTAAGAGTCAAGTTTCTTGATGACCAGAACAGGTTTATCATGAGAAATGTCAAGGGACCAGTCATAGAGGATGATATTCTCATACTGTTGGAGTCTGAGAGGGGGGCCAGGAGATTCGCTGAGCCCATAATTTAGATTGCCATATTGAAAAAAAAAGAAGAGTGCCGAGAGGAATCAAAAGCAATGCCCTGTTCTGATGCCATGTCATGACCGGTGTTTATTCTGTCCACTACCTCATAAATATCATCAGATAAAACAATCATGTTTGTAGAGGTGAAAATCTGTTAAATTAAATTGCGAAAATTACACCGGGTATGTTGTTTTTAGAGGGTAAGGTCTGCGTACACACCACCCTCCCTAGAACCTACTTGTGGGGTTACCCTGGGTATGTTGTTTAGCCTGCTCAATGCTTAATGACACATCAGGTTGATTCACTCAACCTATTATCATTGTATGTTCGAAGCTTCAGTAGTTTGCATATGCCCAAATGCTAGCATGGGCATAGCAGACCAGGCCGATTCCCTTGAACTATTTTCATTGAATGTAGCCTGTTCATGCTAATGACATGCTTTTGAATGCTTGGCATTGGTGTTGAGCCGCTTTGGTGTGCATGCACTCTTAGGAGTCGTTTGGTGTGAGATATAAGATATAATAATTCCAGGATTAAATGTAGGATTATTTTATCCCATGGTTGGAGGTATTAGGTAGTCTTTGAATTATTTATCCCACCATTTTTGCCGTAGTGATGTCCTGGGATTAATTATCTCGGGATAACTTGTTCCCAACCAAACAACCCCTTAGGGGTCGTTTGGTAGAGTGTATAAAAATAATACCCAATAGTGTATTAGTAATGCATGTATTAGTTATACTTGTATTAGTCATGCATAGATTATTTTTTATGCATTGTTTGGTTTGGTGTAATAAAAATAGTATGCATTGTATAAAAATATTTATTTACAAAAGTATCTTTCACAATTATGGTGGAAATTATGGTGGAAAAGATGTAAAAGTACTTTTGAGGGGTAATTGAGTCTTTAACCATATTAATGCATGCATTAAATCCTTTGCATTACTAATACCATGGATTTCTAGGTATTAGTAATACACTCCTCAATACACAATAGAGTGTATAACTAATGCAAGCATTTGTTATACATAGCATGAAAAAATGCACCAAACAAGGGATTACTAATACATATAATTAATGCATGCATTATTTTTGCTAATACACTCTACCAAACGACCCCTTAGTCTTTTGTGGAATTCCAAGAAACCACAGCATGATTGTGTATCATTTTCTTCCACATTTGATAGGGGCATGTCTCTCTTCCTTTATGTGTAAGCTGCACACTTTTGAGTTCTCAAGTTTGAAGATTTTGGGTTTCTCAAGAACACCAGAGATGCACAACATGTGGGCCTTGTCTAACGAGCAACACCTTTTGATTCTTAATCGACATAGGTTTCAGTCAGCCAGTTTGATTTGTAGTAGTCTTAAGACTGCCATATCTCCATTTTCACCTGAATTTTAATCCTCTGCAAAAATGTAATCATTGGATAGCTTTTATAAATGAGAACTGTTTATATGCGTCACTTTGTTCCTTGATTCTTAATAGATATTTTTCTCTGCTGTCTGCAAAAATGTAATCATTGGATAGCTGGTTGACATGCAGGTTGCGTGTGGTCAGATTGAACTAGTAAAAAATGCAAGGAGGAGGCTGACATCTCCCAGTGTTGCTGCTCCACCAGTGAATACTGGTATCCTTCCAATTGAAGTCACCAGAACAACTGAACCAACCCCGCCTTCAGTGCAATTAATCAACATGCCTCCTCTGCCTCCACCTCCCAATCCTGTGACTTCTTTCACAAATTCTAAAACTAATGAAGAGGAAAGCAAAAGGTCGGCAGCAGCAGCTGTTGCTGCAAAACTTGCTGCTTCAACATCTTCTGCTCAAATGTTAACCTCTGTTCTTTCATCCCTTGTTGCTGAAGAAGCTGCATCACTGAGCAGTGGATTGAAATCAACTGGCTTCACGTCTAGCTTGCCTTTTGCATCCCCAGAGAAACGGCTCAAGTTAGATAAGCCAATGACTTTTTCTGATATGAAAAGTTCTGAAAGGGGTAGCTCCACTTACTTTACTTCATCACAACAATTGATTACTAGCATTCCTCTTGCCCCATCCTCGGCCATGCAATCTGTGTCCCAGCCAAACCAGATACAAGCTCCGTTTCCACCTCCTCCCCCTCCCCCTCCATCATTACATCCAGCAAATTCCCCTGCAAGTCAGTTAGTTCAATCTACAGCTATGATGATGGGGGTGATGCCATATGGATATAGTGCTGGCCTTCAACAACCTCTGTCTTCTCAAATTGCAATGGGACTGAGGCCTCCTCCTCCACCACCCCAGCAAGCACAGCAGCAGCAGCAACTGCAGACTCAGCAGCCACAATCTCAGCAGCAGCCTGCCAACGGTGGATTTTACCGTCCTCCTGGTATTGGATTCTATGGACAGGCCCATCAGCAGACGGCGCCAGCAGCACCGCGGCAGTAGATCCCTTTGGAATAGGGAGTGCATGTTACATTGTACATTAATAGTAAAAGTAGACTAGATCTAGTTACTGTTTTCGGCATCTTTTCATACTCTATTTGCACCCGACATCCGCTGGCAATACCCACCCCCTTGTTATCACCAAGGTACCCTCTTTTGATTTAGTGTCGGGTGCTTTGCATCCATTTAAGCGTACCTGTAACCTTATGTAGGTGCTGTAAAATTAACTGTAGATTGGGCCATGTACTTAATATCTTCAAAACCGGGAGCTGAAAGAAGCTACTAGGTGAAATGTTCACCTGTTTCGCGGTGTGGGCTCTCGTCTATTAGTTGCTTGAAATCATGCGTTTTTAATCTCTGTATTTCATGGATATATATTCTGCAAGCCAAACCAAAACCACATTAATTAAAGTTAAACATGGTTAGGCTTGAACATGTGTTGATTTTTTTGCATGATAACCATTTTGATCACTTATTTGCACTTGTATGAATTGCTTCATTCCGACCGACGACGGTTTTTTTAATAGGAATTCATGATTTTCTCACTTTGTTTCAATGTGTGTACATGAACTTGAGAGAATATTTTACTGATTAGCATTTTTTGGCCATAAAAATCTTTTATAACCATTGGAAATGACCTATGAACCATACTCATATCCACACCACCTTTTATTTTTAACATTTAGGAGTCGCAACACAAGAATCCAAAGATTTTCGTCCACCAGTAACATGAAGAAACGGTAATTTGAAGAGAAAATGTGTGAGCAATCAAGTGATGAATTCATTCGAATGCACCTCTAATTTTTTAATAACACGAACAAATAAAATGTATTATCAGACCCCCAGAAAAAGCTAGGCATCTGGAGTAATACATGAACCAACCAAATCGAATAACAGGTTACATGGAGAAGTAGAAAACAACATAGGTATTTGTTTCATAACGAACGAAGTAAGTATATTTTAGTATTAGAAAGGAATACTACAATAATACATAAAAACAAGCTATTCTGAGTCCGATGAGTCAGGATTTGAACTCTGCCTCACACTCTTGTTCGACTGAGCTTGAGCTTTGGATTTTGATAAAAATTTTGATGATTCCCCCTCAAAGATGATAACATCAGCTTTAGCTAACCTCTCTTCAAGTTCCTCCGTGTTAAACTCATCGGTACCCCCAAGCTCATCAAATCCAACCTGTAATAATAGCCAAATCATGGACGATAATAATGACAGAGTGCGCAAATAGTTGGAAAGTTAATTGTTACCAGGTAGTTATCGACTTTAGCATTTTTGATGAGGGCAAGGGTTGGAAGAACAACAATTCTAAGCTTCTCAGCCAAGTATGGGGCTTTCTCAGCATTAATTTTGACAAAACGTGTCTCTATATGCTGTTTTGCCAGTATGCTCAAATGCTTGTCCATAACCTGCATTGCAACAATCAATGGTTGGAAACAGGCTAGCTTTTAGTTGAATTGGAGGAAACTATATTTACTTACCTTGCAAGGCCAATTCTCGCGGTAGAAATGGCAAACAACGCGATCACTAGCCTTAACAACAGAGAAAAAGTCCTTTTCAGCTTGGATCTCGGAGTATTCTCCATGTCCAAGAGATATCCAACGATTCCGTTTTTCAGCCATTTTCTTCATCTGTTGCAATCTACGTTCTCTCAACACCTCCAAATCATCAAGATCTAACCGATCTAACGCATGAATCTCTTCATCAAGCTTGTCCTCCACCGCTTTTGCCACCGTCAACACTTGCTTTGCCACTATCTGCAATTCAAAAAATCCTAAATAAACATCAAATTTTCCACTCTCCATTGTTAAATAAATAATACCTCTTGAACCGCATTCTCCATGGTTGATTGTTTTGTTTTGGGGGAAAATGAAGCTTAATCTGTTTGTTCTTTCTTCAAATTGAAATGGATGTGATGTGTACGGCACAGCCCTAGCCCTTATAATCCACGGGTTGCCCCGGCCCGTTTACCACTAACTTCTTTTTGCCAAAATTCATTTTATTTAATTAATAGTTTAGAAACAAGATATCAAATAATCTTGATTTTATTTTTCCGTCATCCGATTTTTGATATATGTATAATGTATGTATGGAAGTCAGAGAGCCCCCATTCAAAGAAAGCAAGTTTTTGATCCACGTATTCTGCATTTAATTTATAGTGTCACTTGAAGCGTTTTGTTATGTTGTAATGGCATACATTTTTGGTATTCTAATAAATCGTATAAATAAATAAATTATGAGGAAAACAAAAGAGTCTACAACTTGTTAGCAAAATGCAAGCAAAACAGTACAATAATCTACAATTCCCTCTGAAGACATTTCAAATTAAAGAGCATCAATAGACATTACTGCAGCAATAGATAGGTGTTGGTTTGTCAAGGTGAAGTTCAACCAAAGTGTATTTGGAGAGCCTGATCAATCCTTCACCACGGATGAGGCAGGCAGTAAGAAATATCTACTCTTCCGGATCCACATTCTTATTTTCTGTCTCAATCTTCACACAATTTCCAGCACCTTGGTTAAGCAGTCCCTTCTTATAAAGTGAGTCCAATTCATGGAAATAGGGGCACGATCTGTAGTTTTTTGGACGCGTCTTACCACTGTCAATTGTCCTTTTATAGTACTTGTTAATGTTCTCCCATTTTTCTTTACACTTTTTTGCTGTCCGAATGTAACCCATCTTACCCAATCCATCCGCTACCTCTTCCCACACGGATCCTTTAGCTCCTTTAAGAAACTTGTGATCTAAACAAGTACGAACTGATACAAGGGCTTGTACTTCAGATTTTGGCCATCTCCTATTACATGGATCGGATCCATGAACTTCACCTTCATCTTTAACTACACTTGTTACTTCTGATGATTTTGGAATTTGGAAATCTTCACCTAATAGATTCTCAAGGAAAGCAATAAGAGCCAAGTTTCTAGATGTCTCTTCAGCTCTCAACTCCACATCCCGCTTTGCCCTTTCTACCTCTTGCTGCTTCCAAGCTTCTTCCCGAATGATTCTCTCCTCTTCCTTCTTCTCTAGCATCTCTATTAATTGTTTGTGCATCTGCTCTTGCTTGTCCATCAACTTCTTAACCATGTCTTCAACACTTAATTTAAGACTCTTCGTATTTAAATGTTCTTCACTGTCATCTGAAGATGAGCTGCATCAAGGTAAATTAAATGCCACTTGAATCAGGTTTCTCACAAACTATTAGAAGAAAGTTATTGCTAAGGAAGTTCACAGATTCTTCAACATACTACTGCAAATTCATTCATATCTTCAGAATTTCGTTGGAGAAACCAATCATTCCTAGAAAATCACTTTTGTTATTCAAATAAATCTAGATTACAAAAAGTTGCATTATCCATCAGAACTATTTTGGAGTAAATTGGCATGAAATATAAGACCTTGGCAGTAAGTTTGAAGCACAGGCTACCGTTAATCCCAACCATACAAATTCAAGACCTTATTAGCCGCTTTCTTTCCCCTTATATGATATGAACCACAACAACATACCCAATGTAGTCCTTCTAGGAAGGGTAGAGTGTACGTAGACTTCACCCGACACCACAGAGGTAGACAGGTTGTTTTTGATAGACCCTTGGCTATGACATCAACCACCAATCTACTAATTGATGTAGATTTGATACCCTTAAAATGACTTCTAAGGTGTAAAATGTAAAGAAAGAATAAAAAGTATGAACCATTTCTAATATCAAAAGGTTTTGAACTTATTCTAAAATAAGTTTCAAAAGGCTTAGTTTTTTTTTTTTGACAAAACTTAAATTTAAAGTTAACTGGTAATGACATCAAGTACTTTGTGTGACAAAAGTAAGTACTAATTAGCAACAAAAACAATTGGAAATTAGAAAGTTAATATAATATAAAATAATATTAGCTCAAAATGAATATTTATTTAAAGAGCAAAATGAAGACCTTTGCTCACATTATCTAATCCCATAAATATCAAACAGCATAATAAGGCATGGCGCTATTATTAATTAATAATACAGAAGATTACCTAAATTCAGCCTCCAAAATACGAGATTGCGAGATCAAATTCAAGCAATCAGCGTCTAACTCCGACTTCATTTGCTGAACTGCCGAAATCTCCGCCTCCGAGCACCTAGCGACGCCATTCTCGTCCAACGAATTAACAAATCCACACTCCATGGGCAACACCGTAGACGCATTTTGAGCAGAAAACTGACTCAAAAACCCTAAATCACTAGTGCAAGTCATCAAAGCTTCGTCAATATCACAGTTGCTGTCCACCATATCGACATAGTTTCGTCCGTTTCCAAACCGCACCGGTCGGAGTTTACGGACAGGGGAAACCGGAAGGCGGTGGATTTCCGTCGGAGCAATAACGGCAGATGGATTCTCGTAAACGACGTTAGTTGATTCAGGGAAAGGAGCAAGGTTATCAGCGAAAGAAGCGATGTCGTTTGATGTATGGCCGTCGCCGTCGATGAGGGGTTCCATTGAAGAGGTAAAAAAAAAAAAAGTAATATAAAGCGGCGGCGGAAGGGAAATGGAGGACTGGTAAAAGCAAAGTAAAATGGGGTAAAAGGGAAAGGAATCACCGAATTAACAATTTTTTTTAATTTATTTTATAAAAGTTTGATCTCTTATTTATTAGGTGCCACATGATTTGCCTATCTCCAATTTCAACCGTGGGTGAAGGTTCTAAAAGCACTTCAAATTGTTACTAATATATACCAAACATTTTTATAATGATATAAATAACATCACATGCATAATCAATTTTTATGAAAAAAATGTTATTTTAGAATATGACTGACTGATGGATACGAACACAATTAATATATCTTTACAAATACTAAACAAAGTTAAATATGAAGAAATCCATCCAGTGCTAAAATTTTCATTCAACAAGAGAGAGATTATGGTTCATGGATTCCATTCAAAAGCTGAAACATTCAATCCTATCCTATCTACTAAACTCTAGATATTCCAGCACAACTCAAAAGTACAACAAGCACAGTTTCTCTCTTTCAATCGTGTAATTTTTCGCGAAATACAATACGTATAAGTGATTACAGGTAAATTGACACATTCCTCTGCTACTTTTCTTGAGTGGCCATGAGTTGAGACCTTACTTCTAATCATTTGTCACCGAACTTAACATTATTAAAAGACATATGTTCACCTCTGTATGGACTTGTAAAGTACCACTGTCACGTATTTGGACAGGAATCGATTAGTTGAACCGAGTGCTACCACAGATGGGGTACTCTTTCCCTTCTGCATGTACAGGTGGTTAAGTACCACATGTTGAGGTCTTGATAAAGGAGGTGGAGATGATGAAACATTAAGCAAAGTCATTTGTAGATGAGGTGGAACTAAAGGTGGCTCCTTGGCGTAGTCCTCTGCTCCAAATTGCAAGTTACTGTAGCTGGAATCTGGGGAAAGAGGAGGTTCAAAACCAGAAATGCTTTCGATATCTTCTGGTACATAATCCTGCATCATGCATCAAACAGCACAATTTTTTGTCAATTTAGTTTTTAATCAACTTGTGACTTTTCAAAGCAAATGGCACCAGGAAATGGAAGACTTAATGCTGTGATCATTAGGACAGTATTAAGAATATAGTCCAATGAAAGTTTGGGTACTGCGTATGAAAATAGAAAGTACTTTCAGATTAGCCGTCTATGCTGATATGGTCATACATTACGAATAAATGCAACACTTTTTTACCTTGCACAATCATCTATTCTGCCTAGATAGTTTTCTTCCAAGATAAGTAGTTAAGCAACTGAGATAGAGACAAAGAAGACTTGACATTTTTCTATATTCATGTTATTTTACAAATTTCAAGAATTCAATTGTCTCACTTAATCATAATTAAATTTGACGTGATATTTTCTATATCAAACTAACTTTTCACCTATTGCTTTCATTACTTCTTCTCTGCTACATATAAAGTATGTCTATAAAGTACACACATCAAATTTAGTATCATAAGTTTGATAGCATTTTCTTTTCTGCGACCATTTTGAGTAGCAATAGGTTTGGGGATGGGAAGCAGGTGCTAAAGTAGGATGCATATGAGGCATTCATAAGCCAAGTTTCAAGCAGCAGCAACACTGTATTAGCTTCTTCCTTTCCCCTCTATAATTGGTACAACAGTAATTTCATATCAATAACAAGAAAGTAGTTAGGTTGGCTATATATATATATATATGTCTATTTCACTCAATTTGAGTCGGTTTCATGCCAATACTCAAGATAAGAGTTATATAAAACGAGGGGTTCTCTAAATCTTAGCCTAATCCATCTGGTGACATAGAAATCTCTTAACAAAAACGACTCCAAGCAAACCGATGGGTCAAATGTAAGTGTATCAATACAACTAGACCTAAATCTCAAGTGTTTCGTATCACCTATATGGATCTTTTGCTTTCGTTGTTTTCTTTTGGAGAAAGGTAATGGGTTTATATACATGTCAGCACAAAGATTGTGCCAAAATTACAAACAGACTCAGTTCCTTTACATAAAAATAGGAAGTTGAAAAAATCTAAAATCCTATCCACTGGGTTGACTTCTTCTAGTCTACACCAAAAGCCCCAAAAAGACGGGCATATTTGTTTCAGTATATGTTTTTTTTCGTATTTGCTTTTAAGACATCTTTGGATCTTTTTCTTTCATTGGGTTCAACTCTTTGCTAAGTCCACATGAGTTTGAAGAAACTATGTTGCATCTGTGAAAGTTAATAGCAGCAAAATAGCATGTAAATCATTATTCAATTTATTGATGGCTGAATCTTGTATGCTTTTGATGAGAAATGGAATAAATATATTTTTTAAAATATAAAAGAGAATAGTTTTGACAAATTTGCTTGCGCGCATGAAGCACAATTGCTATTGCTGTGAATAGACAGTAGAGAAGAAAAGGAGGAAAATAGAAGAATCTGCAGTGAATGAATCAACGACACAACTCATAGAAAAAAGGCATAAGTTTGGGATACCTAAAACACTTAAGAAGTTATAAAGCTGCCTTAACCAAATTTCTATTATTTGTAGAGAAGAGCTGGTCCCTCACTTTGAAAACTTCCTCAATTCTGTAAGCAAGATGAAAACATATAGAAAAGGCATAGAATAAGATGAATTATTCGGTGTAGATAATTAGCTCTACCTTAAATTTAACCATAAACTTTCTTCTATGATTCTTAATGGCTATAGGGAGTGGGTTCAGGAAAACCTTCACCCAATTTTTTTGGTCAGTGATTTGCTTTGACAAAACAGAAACATCTTCAGGTATTTTACCTCAAGGGCTCTAACAATTCACAGTTTGTGATGCATTGACACCATAATATAACGACTGAGAAAAAGGCTAGATTCAGTATATCCACCTTTTGGACCAAAACACTACACAATCTATATCCATGCCATTTTTGAACAGGACATGATCACAGAGAAAAAAAGCCCAGGATGGAGAGATTTCCATAGTTGTAACTCAACTCCCTTACAGTGTTCACTGTTCACAAGCCAAAACTTCATTTCGGAAACTAATATCTTACAGTTGCATAACAAATAAAGAGTATACTCTTCTTGGTTTGACAAGGTAGTTAATCTGACTCATATTTATGTTCACATTGACAAATAAAGCAAGGTTGTGTATAGACAATCTCAAAGGCCCACAATAAGTACTTAAATTTTAATATTGTGTGTGTATAAGCTACATCCCTATTGGACGTCCAGTTTCTATTTTTGCGTTGATCCTCTAATAGAAAGATACAATAGAAACTAGGCCTGGAATTCTTGAGAGAAAATGGACTGAGATAGTTTTGAGATGACAAATGTACCTTCACATCCAAAATATTGTAAGTATTCCCTGCTTCATCCTGAACGCATGGCAAGTCAGGGGAACACCTCCATTGTCCATCAACTATAAACCTATACTGGTAAACTCCAGAAGGAAGCACCTTCAAAATGGTGAAATCTTTCCCAGATCTTTGCAAAAGGTTCCTGAGAAATAGAGTTTTAATTTTTCCGAGTCAACTTGCAATCTTAAAGCTCAAAAAGTTGAGAACAGTCTTTTTCAATGTAAAACGTGGATGAATAAAATCAAGCATAAAAAACCTTGATTTCCAATTATCCCATGATCCCTCCACGGCAATTTCTTTGCCATCATAGGTCCATGATATCAGTGTGGGAACTCCTTGCTCATCCTTCAAGTCTTCGTACCCTGAGGTGTTTTGCATCCACGAAGGGTTTGAGATGTGCAACTCCTCGGGTCTTTGTAAAGGGACTGCTGGCATCTGAGACAAAACATTTCAAAAAAAAAACAAATTCACATATTCCCTCTCAAAAAGAGAACCCCCCGGCCTATAAGAAGATCAACATCCTGGACCAAGTTCTGATAAGAAATAAACACAACATACATAGATGTAACCTTTCTTGCTAGATAACTTAAAATGCTCATTAGTGCTTAACCTAAAGCCAATTTTCCCCCATCTATATTTTTCAATCATCCTCCAATATATACAAAAGGTAGCACTTGCCAATTTTCAGACAATCTGAATATTGCTGTATAACTCTTCAATTCAAATTCTGAATTCCATTATGTGAGGAAACAAACAATCATTAAAGTTTTTTTTATTATGATCACGGTGTCCGGGCTAGCTTTCGCGCACCTGGACTAGTTCCACCTCCCGCCAACAACAGGTACCACAGTAACTCTGTCCACCAAGGCTAGAACAACCGATGACAAGAATCATTAAAGTTTATTAACTGATGACAAAACAAATTTGTTCAAAGTAACAACCTTTCTTCAGATTTATCCATTAATTTCAAAGTACAAATATCTCCAGCCTAAATCTACATCAAATCCTCCAAAAGATCAAATCTTTACATCCAAACAAACAACCCAATACTACAATCAACCAAAAAAAACACCCCCTTCATTTATTTTTTTGTCAAGAACTGACCTGAGGTCTAAACATCAATGGCGAATGAGAAGCCCTAGGACTTGAAGGTGGAGATTGACCCATGAATTCACCATCTCTAGCATCCATAGTTTCTTGCACCCCAACACCAGATTGATCAATTTCTTCTCTTCCATTAACATTCCCCATTAAAGTTTGTATTTTTTTAAACAAAACTCAGAAAAGAATCTACAAAAAAGTCATTCCTTTATGTGTAACTATATAAACACGGTTTACCCACTACTTTTTTATGACATCACAATTAACTTTGACATTAATAATGTTTATGGTAAAAAAAGGAAGAAGAATTATGTTTATGGAGAATTGAAGGAAAGAAGAATTGGATTTCTGGTTCCATTTAGATTTTAGATTAGATTGAGTGCTGATGAGTGAAGTGAGGAACACACCAGATAGTAATAAATAATAATAATAATAATAATAATAATAATAATAATTTCAAGAAAGGTGAAAATTGATACTTAGTGCAATTGGAACTATGGTTTTTTTTTTTTACTTCTTTAGTGTGTTCCCCATCCACATTAAAGCCCAACTATTTTAGATTTGCATTTAGTCCCAACTTTGAAACTATGTTAGTTTTGGTATTTTGCACAATATATCCTATAATGACTAATTATATTATACTCTTTCTGTTTTGATATATTTGTTTGATTTTAGTTTGACTTAATTTAAGAAACTAAAATTAAAAGTTGCTACAAAAAAGAATAAATTAAAAAGAAAAGTAAGGCAAACATATTGAAATGAGTAAGTAATTGTTATTACTATTCCATCGATCCCAATTCACGATTCAATATTTGACTTTTGAAATTCGTATGAATAATGAAAGAAGTTTAAAGTTAAATTATTTTAAATTACAGAAATGTGATTATTTCTTTTTTGAAAATTGATTAAATAAAGTGTGTCACATGATTAAGATATATGAAGTAATTTTTTTCCCTTGATGTATACATATATTATAGTTAAAAACCAAATAAATTATGTCACCTTAATATTTTAATGAATGAATAAGTACTACATCAACTTATTTTAAATTTTATCATAAAGAAAAAGAAAAAAGTAGTTTATTTTAAAGAATAATGTTATAACTACTAATAATAAGTCTTAAATACGTCAATTATAAAATTTTCAATTTATTTAGGGGTAGAAAGAGTAGTAACAGAGTGGTGGCCCAATGATGTGTCGGTTTCATGGGGATGGGTCCAGTGGGCCTTAAAACTCATTGAGTCACATCATTTGTGAAATTCCTTTTTTCTTTTCTTTTCTACTTTTTGTGAAATTCTTCATTTCTTGGATTAAAAATACATCCACTATAATAGACTTTTCCATTACTCAAAGTTAACTTCAATCACTTACTTTTAAGTTTCAATGATGAATTCATGAATAATGTGAAGTCGCTTTATACAATATTGAAAGCTTTTTGCCAATTGAGATTAAGATATTCAAAAGTGAAAATCTATAATAGTCTCATGGGAAATAGTTAGATAAATATTAAGTGTGTATTTTAATTGATATGTAGAAAAAAAACTGGTTTTTCGTGAACCCAACGCAATAGTTTAGATTCTCCATTGATCACTTGTAAGGTGATCATAAGTAATACTCCCCTATCCCAATTTATGTGGCACTTTTCGTTTTACGAGAGTCAAACAGTTTAAATTTGATCGAAAATTTCTGCATGGAGTGCTCTTCAATTTTTTGAAATGAAATTTATATATTTGTAAACTACGTAAAAAGTACTAGAAGTTACAATAATTGATAATTCAAAATGTTTAAAAGATCTATGAAAAACCTACGATCAAAGATAGACTTGTTTGAATATCGAAATTTGAAAAGTGTCACATAAAATTGGACGGAGGGTGTAATAAACATTAACTATAATAACTTGATAAAAATGATAACTAATTAACGTGTTATTATAGGTCAAATAATACTGCTATGTGAAAATGTTTTTAACTGTTTGTTTATAATAACTTAAATCCAATTAAAAAATGAATCTTTTTTTAAAAAAAGTTCATTTTCGTTTTAACTTTTTCCCCTAATTATTAATTTTCCCTTTAAAATTGTGGGTACGTGACTACTTTTTCTTTACAGAAAATGTGAGTAATTTAGCAGTTTGAGAAGAAGATAACTAAATAAGTAAATGATTTTTTAGAAGAAAAAGGAAATGGAACAGAACCCTTGATGGTTATAGCTATGGGTGGCCGCAAGTGACTGGTAAATATCCTTTCGTAAATATCGCATTCGAGTCATGGATATGACATCACTTTGTGAATACGAATTAGTCAAGCCTTAAAGCGGATATCGAATAGCATGAAAATAAAATAAAAAAGTGTATATGGGTGGTTGTAAGTATCTATCAAAAATTGAGTGCTTTTAGGGTTGTGAAAATGGCATAGACATTTGGAAGTGTCAATTTTTTCTAAGAAGAGAGGACCAGATAGAAAAAATAAGTTTGGTTTTACCACGAAAATAACATTCAATAATCACTTTTTACATTAATTGAAATACAGTTAATGTTATGAAAATTTAAATTTCTCACATAACATAAACACAATAACAACACACTTAATTAAAAGCTACACAAAAATTGTACATTGATAAAATTTAAACATGCATCACGTACGAGTGCACAATTCAATGTGTGTGACTAAAGCGCCATCTCAAGAAATTGTGTCATCCCTTCTCTCTTCTTCTCTTATCGTGGATTATACTCATGAGCTAGCTTTAGAGGTCAAGTAAATTGTCGGAGTCGTATAAACGCGAACGCCAATATTGGAAGATGCTAGTGTGAATGTTTTCCTTTTTGTAAAAGAATGACGATGACAAAGTGAGTAGTCCTTTGGGAGATGAAGAATTTGAATATGACATAGATTTGGATCATGAATATTAGCATGGAGATGAGAAGGGACATCTATTATGAACTCTCCACTTTCATTTGTTACATTTTTGGCCCATGATGATTTCCTTACCCGACCCGGCCCACTAGTTCCGCAAAACACCGCCACAGATGCACCTGATCATCATATTAATATACAATATAGTCAGACCTTTTTATAATAACCATATCATGCATGTTATAATAACAGAACTAACGTACGATCGATGTTGTTATAGAAAAAGTAGAAATTAACCTGGAACTGGATGTGGTGTGTGACCACAAAGAAGAGTACCATGAAGGAAAACAGTAGAGAGTTTTTCTTCACCATAACCAGCTATCTTTGCCAATTCTTCTCTACTTGAAAGTTCTATTAATGGATTATTAATTGCCCAACTTATTGGCACAATTAATAATAAGGACAATAATATCACAATACTTTCTTGGATCATGATCTTTAATATATATGATATCCTTAATTTGTGTTTCTAAATATGACCAATTAATGTATGAATATATATGGAATGAAATGAAGAGACAAATTATATGGAAAAGGTAGCTACTATATATCTCAATTATATATAGATTCTTTTACTTTAATTTGCATATAAAAGAAGTTGGAAGATTAACGGTAGGTTGGTAGCCTACTCTTATCAGCACCTATATACAGGCAGACAAGCAATATTAATTCTCTAGGGGGCACGTTCGCACGAAGGATAAATAATAATTAATCTCGTCATTAATTTTATAATGAATTTATTCTATATTTGATTTAGATAAAATCCTGAGATAATTGATCTCGTGATAACTTATTCCGTAACCAGACGAATCCTAAGAGTTTAACAAATATCCATCGAAATTTTACACTATATATTTAGTTAGTTTTTATCTATTATAACATGTAATATGTCTTATGAATTATAACATGTAGATATTTTTTAAATGTTATGGTAATATAGATTATTTTGATATATTAATGGTAATAGTTAATGTAACAGAAAAAAATGTAATGGAGATTTAGTGAAAGATATAAAGTCAAGCACCACCATTAATTATAACTTTGGTCAACTATTTTATTGGGTATTGGAAGGCAAGAAAACGAAATTACAAAACAGTTGTGACTCAATCCATGACTGAATTTATTAGTTGAACGAATCACATAAAATTAAATAAATAAAACCACAATGGGAATTTTGGTGGGATTGGTTTTGACCAACTACGTACGTACGTTATTTCTTTCTTTGTTGACCAAAATTGAGTTCAATAAATACTAGTAAAACCATTTACTATAATGTATTCATTTTGGGAGTGGGGTTGGTTTTGACCAACTACCTTATTTATCTTTTCTTTTTAATTATCATAAAAAGTTTTACTAGTATTTCTTTTAGATTTTAGTTTGGATTGTTAAAAGTGAGTGAACATATTAAGTTAAGTTTCTATCTCTCATTAATAATATCTATTCAATTAACTTCTCATTGTGTATGTCAACATTCTTCATACTCCCAACAACAGAACAATTTCATAGGAATATGGACAACGATCTATTTTTTTAATATGCGAGTAATAAGATAATGGGAAAATTGTATATAATAGCAAACTATTAATTCAAATTAAATGTTATAACCACAGTTTAATTTAATTATAACCCGTAGCAAACTGTTGTCATTCGCCTCTCTCCCTGAAATTCTCGCTCGCTTGTCTCTCCCTCGCCTCTCTCACTTTATACAAACACAAATGTATAAATTGTGTTTCTGTTTGTATAAAGCGAGAGAAAATTGTATACACATGCAAATATATATATCTCCGTCCTATACTCTTATAATTATACAATACAAATCTTCTCATGTCAGTTCTCTTTTGTCTTTCTCTCTTTCTTGTTTTATACAAACATAGATTATACAAAATACAATGTATAATTTGTGTTTGTATAAAGCGAGAGAGAGAGAGGTTTGATATACAAACGTTTTATTTCGATTCAATTGTATACAAATTCAAATTTTATGTAGATAAACAAACACATCAAATTGAATTGAGAGGTTGCCAACGATTTATACAAACGATTGGCTGCCAACAATTTATACAAATGAGAGACTGCCAGCGATTTTATACAAATTTGATGCCCCCAGCGATTTATACAATCTGATACTCCATAGCAAACATGGAGTTTGTTATGGAGCACAATTATGCAAACTATAGCTTTAGCATACAAATATGATCTTTATGTTTGCTAAATGTGAAAGTTATTCTAAGATAATACGTATTAAGGGAAAATAGTTGAAGAACGAAGTAGTGACTGCATTATAATCAAATCATTTACACAACACAAAAAGCTATCGATCAGTTACTTCAAAATTACATTAATAATGTAATGCGCGGACTTGTTTGAACCTTGAAACACTAAAACTAATTATGTAAAAACCATTCATTCATTGTTGTTGTTGTTATATATGCCTATTTGAAAACAGGACATCCTTGTACTATAATC